TTTGATCTCCAAAATATATAAAGAACTTACATGACTCCATACCAGGAACACAAACAATCCAATTACGAAATGAGCCCTAGCTGGTGTGGCTGAGTGGATTAAGTGCTGGCCTGCAAACTAAAGGGTCACTGATTCAATTCCTAATTGTGGCACATGCCTGTGTTGTGGGCCAGGTTCCAGGTGGCTGGCATATGAGAGGCAACCATAGATTGATGTTTCTCTCCCTCACTTCCACTCTCTCTAAAAAGAAATAAATAAAATTTTTAAAGAAAAAAAAGGAATGAGTGAAGGACCTGTAAAGACACTTCTCCAAGGAGGACATACAGAGGACCCAGGAACATATGAAAGAATGCTCAGCATCACTAGCCATCAGTGACATGCAAAATAAAACCACAATGAGATACCACTTCACAATGGTCATAGTGGCTATCATAAACAAATACCATATGATTTCACCTATAAGTGCAACTTAATCAACAAAATAAACAAGCAAGCAGAATATAACCAGAGATACTGAAATAAAAATCAAACTGACAGTTACCAGAGGAGAGGGGTGAAAGGGATAATGGGGATAAATAAGAGAAGGTTCATCAAGGAATATTTATAAAGAATGCTACAGAACAGACCTGGGGGGTAAATGATATAGTATTGCTGAATGGACCCACCCTTGTGCTCCGAGGGTCCCCCACCCCATACTGGGTTCACCTTGCCCACCGCCAGGGAAACACATCTTGCCAGAAATCAGTGAAAAGGAAAGGGATTATTTATTTAAAGAGTTATGCAAACTTAAGAGTAATGACTTAATGTCTTCATTGAGATCCCAAAGTCCTTTAGAATACCTACAAATGTATAGTCCTTCCTTCCCCCTCTGCACAGTCTGGGGTACTGTATCTCAGAAAAATAGATAGAAATCCATGGTTCTTCTCTGCCCAAGTTGTGTGGTTCCAAAAAGATGGTGCATGGCTGCCACACCTGAGTTTAAATTCCAGTGCTGATCTTCCTCTGCCACATGATTTCCTCCCACAATTGGTCACATCTGCCAGCACTCCCATATTTTTCCAGCTTTACCGGGCTGCCATAGTAGGCCTAGGCAGGTATGGCCCTTTGGTGTGGATCCAATCATCTCCAAGCTCTTACGCAGGTTCTGTAACCCAGGGAGTTGTCTCCCAGTTACATCATGGTTTAAAGTCACTTCCATCCCCCTGGCTCAAAGCATGGCCACAGCTATTTAACATACCTATGAAACCAGTTAAAGGTTATAGATATGTTAAACAACTGTTCTACAGGTTATATGCAAAACCATTGCTATTCAATATGATTGTCAATGTTCCTGCTCCACGTGTCCCATCGCCCAGCTCAGACATGTGGGGGTGAGGACATCCTATATATATTTTTTTCTAATATTTCCTGGACACCATGTTCCAGACCCCATTATAATTACCTATTTGTGCCCCCCCCACATTTGGCTGCATCCTGTTACAAGGACACATGGAAAAAGCCAAAGAGGGTAGGTTCAAGGTTGGAATATGGGATGGGGGCAACTGGTGGTGGGGGAATAGGGACAACTGTACTTAAACAAAACAAAAAAAAAATCAACAAATGAGTGCTGGTGGTGCCGTAGAGAAAAGTGAACCCTATTACGCTATTGGTAGGAATGCAGACTGGTGTATCCACTGTGGAAAACAGTGTGGAATTTCCTCAGAAAACTAAAAATGGAACTTCCTTTTGACCTGGCAATTCCAATGCTGGGATTATATCCTAAGAACCTTAAAACACCTATTCAAAAGAACCTATGCACACCAATGTTCATAGTAGCACAATTTTACAATAGCCAAGTGCTGGAAGCAACCTAAGTGACCATCGGTAAATGAATGCATCAAAAAACAATGGTACATTTACACAATACAATACTATACAACAGAGAGAAAGAAGGATCTCCTACCCTTCTCAAAATCATGGATGGGACTGGAGAGCATTATACTAAGTGAGATAAGCCAGGTGATGAAAGACAAATGCATACAAAATGATCTCACCTATAAGTGGAACCTATTCAACAAAACAAACAAGGGAGCAAAATAGAACCAGAGCCCTGGCTATTGTGGTTCAGTGAACTGGGAGCTGGCCTATGAACCAAAGGGTCACTGGTTCAATTCCCAGTTAGGGCACATGCCTGGGTTGCAGGCCAGGTGCCCAGTAGGGGCCAGTTGAGAGGCAACCACACATTGATGTTTCTCTCCCTCTCTTTTCCCCTCCCTTCCCCTCTTTAAAATAAATAAATGAAATATTAAAAAGATGTTTCTCTCTAAAAAAAGAAGAAAATAGAACTAGAGATGTGGAAATAAAGAACAAACTGACAGTAACCAGATGGGATGGGAGAGGAGGATCATGGGGCAAAGACTGAGAAGAGTCATCAAGGAACATGTGTAATGGACCCATGGAAAAAGACAAAGCAGGGTGGAGGAGAATTGAATGTGGGAGGTTGGGTGGGTTGGTTGGGGGAGTGTAATGGGGGAAATGGGGACAAGTGTAATTGAAGAATAGTAAAAAAAAATAATAAAAGGGATGAATAAACTTTAAAAAAAATAGAGGAGGAAAGTGAGGAAGAGAGGAATTAAGTAATTTCCTAAGATTGCACAGTGAAACTAACAATTGGATTCTTCAGTGATTAATCAATCACCTATTTTAATTGGATTGCATGCTTTGTGGAGTGGAGGAATTCAACTTGTTAATGTACATATTGTACTGAATATTGTGGAAGAGTGAATGCATTTACCCATTTTTTAGCCCATGATGTTGGTATAATAAATTAAAGAAATGCTTGTTAGTTGACTGACTGATAGATAACCTCTTTCAGAAGTACTTCCAGCATTATATTTCCAGTGGAGCTTCAAGTTTGCCTCCTCCTCTTATAATTATGTTAGCAATAGTTTCAGCATCTCTTTTCTTATGAACAAATCAGACATGAACTGATCCTTTCATTTTTACTCTCCCAACCCATTCCTTACAACAGCAGTAGGAATATATGTAGCAGTCATAAACATGCTTAAGTAAATGCAGGACAATGGTAGGATTTGCTTCTCATACTCTCTCCTTTCTCCTACTTAGTCACCAACCTCATCCTCACCTGAGTAGGCATCTTAGTAGATACTTAAGGTCTCCATCCTGACTGATGGTAGTTTGGTGCTCACATGTCACCTGTCCTGTTTTCTCCTCTACCAAACTGTGAGTTCCTTGAAATCATAAGCTGCATAAGAACTTAGCAGTTAATGTCTGAGAAGCAGACATATAAAAGGAATCTGCTATTTTGTTAGCTAGACAGCTATTGTGTTTTCTTTTCTAGGCACTTTCAGTTGAAGTGATTTCAGAAGGCAGTAAGGAATGCGAGAATAGTGAGGACTTCTGGTAGAATGGCAAAAGGTTGGAGAGGTGTTTTTCAGTTTATATGGTGGTTCAGTGAGAGTAGTATTTTAGTGTTGAGGATAAGATACACTTAACTAAGACTAGTAATGTTATTATCAATATTTCCATGCATTCCCACTTTCTAGGGCTGTCCCCACTTCTTTATCTCCCTAACCTCTTGGTGCCCATAAGCTGTTTTCACATCTCTTTCATCTGGCAGGTATTCTGCAGTTGCTTTTGTAAAGCCAGTGCTCAGTCAGTTTACTATAACTAGATTAGACAGTGGTATTTTAACAATGGGAGCTGAGACAGGGATTTGTTTGCCAACTTCATGGTTCCTGTGGGAAGGGTTTGGCACCCCCTGTGGACTACCCTTCATTACATTTTAGTTATAATACTTGTTTGCCTTTATATCTGTGATGAAATAAAGAATAAGTAGCATAGACAGTAGATAGAAAATAGAAGGGGGGGCAAGAATAGCATGGGAAATATAGAATCTAAAGGACTTGAGACACATGGTCATAAACTAAAGGGGGGGTAATGGTGGGAATGGGGGGACAGGGTGGAGGTGAATGAAAGGGGGAATAGAACAACTGTAACAGCATAATCAATAAAAAAATTTTTTAAAAATAAAAATAAAGCTTAACATGAAAAAAAAAAGAAGGCCTTCCTGAATAACCAGCATGAAGTTAAACTGATGTGTACTAGCCCACAGTGTCTGCATCATTACAGATGAAATGAGACATTCACACAGACTACTGAGTCCTGTGGAGGAAAAGGGACAGCATGACTTTTCTCTCAAGGGGAGCAAAAGCCACAGCCCTTGCCATGACTGGACTTTACTGGGTTTCTCAGCTCATTACATGATGGTCCTCATTCACTCTGCACTGGTTGCTTTTGGAGATTACCTTTTACAGAAGATAAAGTAGCCAATTCTGCTAATCATATCACAGAAGAGGGATATTTGCAAATGAAAAGGGCAAAAGTGGTTGAACCGGATACACTCGTCCTTGGAAGGTTTAGTGTGGATTTTAGGAAGTTACTTTGCAATAAATGTTTGCCACTGGGGGCTGGGCCCATGCCACACAGAATGGTCTCCTACATTAAATGTCTTAGAACAAAGGGAAGTACAGAGTTTAAATCCACAATGGGATATTACTTTGCCTACATTTCCATATCCATGAAATAAATATTATAACATGTTAATTATCTACTACTAATAAAAATATCTTTGAACTTTGTCAATTCAGTGGGCACAGAATTGTGTCCAGTGGGGAATGGAAAGTAATTAGTTTCTGTAAAGATTTTAGGTCATGCTGTATCTTCCCATAAGGTGTTGCATGGTAAGTAGTCAGGCATATTCTAGGGAATGTTCGTGTCAAGTTCTTCTTGGTCTGCAGGTGAGAACTGCCTCCACGGAATCCCCAGGTCTCCGAGGAGATAGATGGCAGGCATTCTTCAGGCTGTTGCCCCACTATGCCCTTGATTTCTGATTCATTCACTGCTTCTTGCCCAGCAGAAAAAAATCCCCTTAAGTAGGACAGTTTCCCTCTTCTCATGAATCATCTATGTAACCTTCTAAATATTTTTTCCCATTGCAGACTGAAAACTATTCTTTTGACTCCAACTATGTGAACAGCCGAGCCCATTTAATCAAAAGGTATGTTGTTTTGCTTTGCCTATTTTTAAAACAGATTTTACTTATTTGTTTTTAGGGACAAGGGAAGGGAGGGAGGGAGAGAGAGGGAAACACCAATGTGTGGTTGCCTCTTTTGCATTCTCCCACTTGGTACATGGCCCACAATGCAGGCTTGTGCCCTGACGGGAATTGAACTGGCAACCTTTTGGGTCACAGGCTGGCATTCAATCCATTGAGTCACACCAGCCAGGGCTGCTTGCCTTTTTTTTAATATATTTTATTGATTATGCCATTACAGTTGTTCTATTTCCCCCTTCATTCCCCTCCACCCTGCATACCCCCTTCCTCACCATTCCCCCCCTTTAGTTTATAACCACGTGTCTCAAGTTCTTTAGATTCTATATTTCCCATACTATTCTTGCCCTCCCCCCATCTATTTTCTACCTACCGTCTATGCTACTTATTTTCTGTACCTTCTCCCCCTTTTCCCTTCTCCTTCTCCCACTCCCATGTTGCTAACCCTCCATATGATCTTCATTTCTATGGTTCTGCTCCTGATCTAGCTGTCCTCTTAGGTTGCTTTTGTTTTAGGTGTGGTTCTTAATAACTGTGAGTTTGCTGTCCTTTCACTGTTCATCTTTTTTTATCTTCTTTTTCTTAGGTAAGTCCCTTTAACATTTCATATAATAAGGGCTTGGTGATGATGAACTCCTTGAATTTGATCTTATCTGAGAAGCACTTTATCTGTATTTCCATTCTAAATGAAAGTTTTGCTGGATAGAGCAATCTTGCTTGTAGGTCTTTGGATTTCATGACTTGGAATACTTCTTTCCAGCCCCTTCTTGCCTGCAAGGTCTCTTTTGGGAAATCCACTGACAGTCTGATGGGAACTTCTTTGTAGGTGACTGTCCCCTTATCTCGCTGCTTCTAGGATTCTCTTCTTCATTTTAATCTTGGTTAATATAATGATGATATGCCTTGGTGTGTTCCTTCTTAGGTCCAACTTCTTTGGGACTCTCTGAGCTTCCTGGATTTCCTGGAAGTCTATTTTCTTTGCCAGATTGGGGAAATTCTCCTTTATTATTTGTTCAGATAAGGTTTCCTCTCCTGACTGTTCCTTTCGCCTTCTGGTACCCCTATAATGCAGATGTTGGAACGTTTAAAGATGTCCTGAAGTTTCCTAAGCCTCTCCTCATTTTTTTGAAATCTTGTTTCTTCATCCTTTTCTGTTTGGTCATTCTTCCTTCTGGTCCACTCCTTTGATTTGAGTCCCAGTCTCCTTTCCATTAGTATTGGTTTCCTGTGCATTTCCCTTCATTTCATTTAGTTTAGCCTTCATATGTTCCTCTAATTTGTAACTAAAATCAACCAGTTCTGTGAGCATCCTGATCTCCAGTGTTTTGAACTGTGCATCTGATAGGTTGGCTATCTCTTGGTCATTTAAAAGTATTGGCTCTGGGGCTTTTGAGCTGTTCTTCTTGAGCCATAATGTTTTTCTCTGTTTGCACCTGTTAGGTATGAGGAGCGGAGCCTTAGATGTTCACCAGGATGGGGCCACCCAGGTCACTGGTTTGTGATGCTGTATGTGGGGGTGGGGTCAGAAAGGGACAAGAGCAGTCCCCTATGCTGCTTCCCCGCTGCTGGGGCCTGCTTGGTCCTTCTCACTGCTCACTCCTTCACTGGTTTACCGGTTTGGCTGAAGGGTTCGTTGTTGACAGACTTCTGTATAGTTCAATTATCTGTGGTTTGGCTGTGTTTTTGTTGCTAAAACTTTGTTGTTTTTAAACTTGGTTGTGTGAGAAGGTACAGTATTTACACCTATGCCTCCATCTTAGCGGAAGTACTGCTTGCCTATTTTTACAACTAAGCTTGATTTAGTATAAAAAGTAAAACTGATTAAGTTTTTTAAGTATGCCTTTTTCAGATTTTCAAATTAATGCCTATCTGATTATTGTAGAATATTTGGAAATTTCAGAAAATCATAAAAAGCTAAATAAAACTCACTAGTAATTCCACTACCCTAAAACAATCACTTTTAGCAAATTATCATATTTCTTTTTTGTTATTAATCTTTGTTGTATTTTTCTCCATTACCATTTAGTTCCCTTATATATACCCCCTTAGCAATCACCACACTGCTGTCCTTGTCCATGAGTCCTTTTACCTTTGTGCTCAATCTCTTTACCCCCTCACCTCCCCCACCTTACTAGGTGTCATCCTGCTCTTTATCTATGAGCCTGTCCCCATTTTCTTTGTTGGTTCAGTTTGTTCACTAGATTCTCATATGTGTGAAATCATATGGTATTTGTCTTTGTCTTTCTCTGACTGACTTATTTCACTTAGCATAATGTTCTCCAGGTTCACTCATATTGTTGAAAAGGTAAAATTTTCTTCTTTATTATGTTTGAGTATTATTTCATTGTGTAAATACCCCATAGTTGTTTTATCCACACATCTACTGATGAACACTTGAAGTGCTTCCATATCTTGGTGATAGTAAATAATGCTGCAAAAAACATAGGGGGTGATTATCTTCCTTCAAATTAGTGCCTTGGTTTCCTTTGGATACAGTCTCAGAAGTGTGATAGCTGGGTCAAAAGGCAGATCCATTTTTATTTTTTGAGATATCTCCATACTGCTTTCCACAGTGGCTGTACAAGTCTTCGTTTCCAGCAACAGTAAAAAAGGGTCTTTTTTTTCTCCACATCCTCTGCAGCACATGTTGTTTGTTGATTTATTGATGATATCCATTCTGACCAGTATGAGGTGATGTCCTATTGTGGTTTTAATTTGCATCTCTTTGATTATTAGTGACATTGAGCATCTTTTGATATGTCTATTGGCCATCTGTATGTCCTCTTTGGAGAAGTTCAGGTCTTTTGCTCATTTTTTAATTGGGTTGTTTTTGTTTTTGGTTTTTCTGTTGTTGAGTTTTCTAAGTTCTTTATAAATTTTGTGTATTAACTCTCCATCAGATGTAGTGGTGAATATGTTCTCCCATTCTGTGAGTTGTCTTTTTATTTTATTGATGATTTCCTGTGCTGTGCAAAAATGTTTTACTTTAATGAAGTTCTCATGTGTTCAATTTTTTTTTGTTTCCCATGCCTGGAGAAGATATATCTGATAAAATATTTTTATGAGCTACGTTTGATATTTTGCTGCCCATGTTTTTTCAAAGATTTTTATGGTTTCTGGTCTAACATTTAAGTCTTTGATCCAGTTTGAATTTATTCTTGTTTGTGTTGTAAGAAGGTAGTCTAGTTTCATGTTGCTGCACAATATGTCCAATTTTCCCAACACTATTTATTGAAGAAACTTATCTTTAGCCAATTGTATGTGTGTGCTTATTCTGTCAAATATTAATTGACTCCAAAGGTGTGGGTTTATTTCTGGGCTCTCTATTTTGTTCCGTTGATCAATGTGCCTGTTTTTATGCCAGTACCAGGCTATTTTGATTACTATGACCTTATAGTAAAGTTTGATATTAGGTAATATGATTCTTCCAATTTTGTTCTTCTTTCCCAGTATCGCTGTTGCTATGCAGGGCCTTTTGTGGTTATTTCTTTATGTATAAATGTGTACATAAACACAAATTGAAAAATAAAATTTGTACTATATTAAACTATAGTTTTATGTGATGATTTAGAAATCTAATATTAGAGAACTGGTACTTTCAAAATCATATTATCAAATTTTTTTCTGCTCTTCATGTTAAACAGAGAAGTCTTAAATATTTACTCAGGTGGAACTTCAGTGAATTTCAAGATTGTTGTTATTTCAACAATTTTGAAATTACTTTGAAAATATTTTAATGACAGATAAACTAATTCCTTATATTTAAAGACTTAGGAGGGAAAGAAAAGAACTTGTCTGATTCAGTACCTCTTAAAGTACTTGGAAGTGTTTCAAATGGAGCATTCAAATTTGAGAATTGTGTTGGTTGGTCATAACTCAGCTATCTGTGAAGCTACATTATAAGTGAATACAGAGATGGTTACCACCAAAAAAAATTCCATCTGGTGTAGTGGGCACCAAGGTGCCCAATGTGGGTAATGCAAGGGTTTCAGGAAAACCTATAAGGAAGGAGAACTAAGCAAAGCAAGAACCTTGTATAGAAAATCCAATACATACCATGTACATAGCCTCTTAGATGGTCTAGTGGTTATTTTGCAGCTAAAATTGAACTCTGAATGTATTTGTTAAAATAATAGAAATTAAGTAGAGGCATGAGCAGTGTATGTTAGAACTGCACTAGGGAAAACTTGAAAATTCTATTATTTTGCTGGCTCTAAACCCATACATTTACACCACCAGAAGAGTAGGATTCAAGGAATAAACTAGCTTGTTTTGTACAAGCAATTTTAATTCATCTCTGGTTTATTTCATGATCTTGCAGGAACCCCTGAAAACATACTAGATTTATCTGTATTGATTTGGAATTGTTTGTGACCTTAGGTGATAATCATTAAATATCTGAAAACAAACTTGGACTTGTTTTTTTCAAGGGGTTGGGTGGAATCTACTCTTGGTCCACAAGAGAAAAAACAAAGGGTGAGGAATTCACATTTATGTGACTAATTTGTTGTAGAGGGGAAAAATAACACCCTTTTTTTTTGTACGCTGATTAATTTTTTAGCAGAAATATGCTTTGTTTTCTTCTTCACAGCTTTTATTTCAAAGCTCCTTTTGTTTTCACCCTGGGTTTTATTTATTTATTTTTAATTAAATTTTATTTTTCAATTATAGTTTACATTCAATATTACTTTGTATTAATTTCAATTATACAGCATAGGGATTAGATAACCATATACTTTACAATGTATTTCTTCTGATATTTCCAGTGGACACTGGGTGAAAAACATGCAGGAGTTAAAACTATAATTTGGTAGTAAGAAAATAGTCATGAGGTTGTAAAACAAAACTTTTTAAAAAGTTCTGGTAAAACCAAGGGACTTGCCTTATTCTCTTAAGTCCCTTGGGCTAGCTTTGGGTACCTGGGAATTCTATGATCAGGTTAAGCT